ATAAAAAAATTTCATAATACTACCGTATCCTCCACGGTTTGTAGACCACCCTAACGATCCGCTACTAAATGAATATATTTATAAACAGTTATACACTGTACAAGCATATAAAAATTTGAAAAATCGTCATTCGTCTATTGTGACATTTGCAGTAATTTTGAGAATAGTAAAAATGTATTAAAAAAAATATCTATTTGTTTAAATTATGTGGTTAGCATAAATATTCTCATAAAATATTATTAAACTTAAAATATGTGTTTGCACTTAACACTCTAAAATACAAATACGGATGTTATAATTATTTTCAGTTATGGAATGTGTAAAGGACTATGTGGAACATATGAAATAAATATAAAGGAACGTTTTAAAGATTTTTTTAATAACAATCATTTATTCTCTTAAAATTATAGTTAATAATTAATATTCGCCTCAAATACCTGACGTTAGAATAGAACTCGGAAATGATCGATTGTGCTTGAATAAACTTCACTGAACACTATTTTCAATCACATGAAACGACATTGTTTAGAAGAAGATAAGTACGATGTACGCAAACGGCGGATAGATGTACACTAATATTATTATGTGAGCCAACGACTGAATAATAATAATTATTATTAGGTATTATATTAGTTGCTATTTTAATGACGTTTGATTACTTTTTAATTGAATCGTTTGACTTTGGACGCAATAAATACCATTCCACATAGAAACTGTTAGGTCTATTATAATATAATAACAAAATATGACTTAAGAATTTATTACCTGTAATTCTATAATAAATATTGTCGTACTGCTACAAAACATAATCATATTATTAAAAAAAAAATTGCATTGGGTTTCTTTTTGACTTATGATGTTATAATTTGTTTTGTGGCCCAATAATGTTCATTGTAATTGGAATGGTTATTATCGACACTTATCAAAGCTCTCTCAGTGACAAATAACAACAATTATTATAAGTATAACAAAAAAAAAATTGGAGGCTTCAAATAATATTGTTTATGAGTTAATAATACCGCACTTTTTACTATAATATAGTCGACGAGTATGACTCAGTCATATTTTGACAATTATAATATAATATAACTTATCTGTGTGCGTTACTACTAGTAACGACTAAAATTAAAACTGTTTAAGAGAGCGTAGACTTTCTTTTGTGTAACATTTAAATAACTAGATAAACAGTTTGGGAAAATATCAGTTTTAATAATACAAATTAGATTTTAAAAAAATTCTAAATTGAATTAAATAAAAGATTGTTTTAATTGTTTAACCCATTTTTATTGTAAAAAACCCTTAACATTAACTCACAAGTTATAAATTGTAAGAGACAAGTCCTCATGTTTTCAAGATTTTGTGAGACATATTAAATATGTAATGACATTATATTTACGCTGAAATAAATAAATATAATAAAAATGAATAAATGGTGGACTCGATTTACAAAATTCGAGTTCAAAATGTTTCATTGTTATACATTTTTAACCTGTATAATTTAAGCGAATAATTTTAAGTCTCGTATTTTATTAAAATTGAATTGATATCCGAATTTTTATATACAAGTTACTAAATAAATTAATACATAAGTTTTATAAATATTTTGTAGATTGATAACTAAATATATATTATAAAAAATAATAAAATTACAAAATTAAATAATAATTATCGGTTTTACGCAAATTTGATGAGAATTTGTCTTCTTATAATACACGCATTATTATATTAAATCTAAGGCTTTGTGGCAGAAGGGTAAATATCTGATAATATCAAAGTTGCAACTTTAAGAATAACATTTCCAAAATTAATTAATTATTGAAGTACCTCCTAATTAAATTTGCGTTATATATAAATAAAAAACATTTTTCATAAAAAAAAAACAATACCAAAACACTTTTCCCCTCTTCTTTTAATTTATAACTATACATGGGTATTGGGTATTAGGTATTATAAAAAATATACTCAGAAACTTATACCATTAAATAATGAAAATCGAAGCTAAAAACTAACTATATTATATCCTAGGACCCTCTACAAAAATAAATTGCTTTTCATTTTTGTCTGTAACATTATTATCGTATATTTATTTTAATAAAGGTAGAAATAGTATTATTCTATTAGAATAAGATATTAAATTTATATTGTATAAAAAAATTTTTTTTTTTCTAAAATTTCATTTGTGATTTTTTCTAAAGGTATAAAAAAATACCTTGATATACATGTATTAGGTACTACAGCTGTAACGTTACCCGGCGGTCTTTATGGAAATATCCTAATATAATGTTCTATATAAGAAAAAGGACAGTCGGACGATTATTTCCAGAGGTAAAACAGGTATTTCAGATTTGAGCTAAAGGTAAGGATAGTAGTAAATGATCTTTGTTCCTAAAGCCACATCTCCTTTATGTGATGTAGGTACTTATGTGGACATTTTTTCTACAAAAGAAAAAATATCAAAAGAATGTTGGCTATTGTCAACTAGTTTTATAACGCGCCCACGATCCAATAATAGAAATCTACCTACAATTATTTTCCTGGCCATAAAATATTTTCTAGTAAAACGCTGCGGCCTAATAAATATACCTATAAATCAATCGTACTGAAAGGTATACAGTTGTCAAAATGATAGATGTGTATTTACATTTATAAACTATTTTTATTTATTTCATATTTCGATTTAATATAAGATTTTATAAGAAAAACTATGATCAGTCAAACATCATAAGTATTTAAAAAGTTATAATATGATATACCTACAATTATAGCTTACCTTGTGCATTCAGATTTCAGTTGAAAATCATTAAATTACAAGATTTCACTTTACATCTTTACTTGAATATTTTAATTTCTCATGTCAAACGTATTTTAAAAATTGAATAATATTTTTCTAAAATAAACTATTATTATATTAGTCATAAGCTTCAGTCATGTAGATGCATGTGGACTGTGGTATTTAACAACTAACAATGGTGTGCACCGACTTAAATAAAAACTGCATCGAAAGGTGGGTATCATAAACCATATATATATATATATATATATATATATATGATTCATGATAAGGTAAAACTATATTACTTCGTTATCTAGCCATTTGTTATAAGTATAACACATTTAAGTAAACGGTAAATTTGTTTACAATTATAGATGTGAAATTAGGATAAACCGGACGTCGGATACTTGACATTACAGTTATTTATATTTTAAAGTTCTAAAAGCTCTATAGAGCATATAGGACAGGTTATGGTGAATTGAACGGGGAATGATTTTGTTATCCTCCTAATTTATTTTAATTTTCATAAGAAGATAAAATATTATGTACAATTAATGAAGTATTTAATATTTAATTGTGTACATCTAGAAAAATTTAATTAGTTCTAAAATTGATAGAAGAAATCCCACGGTTATCGATAATGTTTTCCATTTCTAATTACCGATTTCATACAAATAAACCTCTAGGCACTATTTATATACATGTAAATGAAATAATATGGTTATTGTGCGTTGTAATGTAATACTTGTGTAGGCATTTGACATAGACATACCCAAAAAATAGCATGTACTTTAATATAATATTTAATAACACTATAAAACGAATGGAAAATTAAAGTAATTAAACATATTATAAGGGCTATGTCTAACCGTGTACAGATATTTTACGCAGTGGGTTAGAGCACTACATTTTGTCACACAACCCCTTCTTTCTTTTTAAATACTAAAATATTAGTAAATTATTTTATTGCTTATAAATAAATTAAATAATAAGTTTATACTACTAATAATGATAATTAATGTTGTAGGTAATACATTTTCAAAGTTTTAGACAAGTTCAAGATAATATAAACATGTTTGTGATGATTTCACATGGAATGAGCTACCCCTTATATTTAACATACCTACGGCTACTTACAGTGTTTGAAGCAAGTATTATTTTGTCCAAAAGTTATCTAAACCAATTTATTAACGATTGCTAGGATATTTGCTAAATAAGTACCGACACCGAAATTTTACGAGGGAGTTATACTTAATCAAAATTTTTAAAACTTGATTTTGAAGTTACTGTTATGCTGATTAATTAATTACCTATTAGCACGCTGATCGACTAAATTTGTATTAAACAAGGCGTAGAACATGTTACAAGATATCCAGAGAGTTAAGCCGAGGGCAGATAGGCAAATGTCAGACCAATTCCGTTTAGGGTTATATGAAAAACCAAACCTGTGGGTTGTAATTTTACTTAAAATGGCAACTCTTTAAACTTGATTATAAAATAATATTTTTAAGTTTTAACACTGTTGAATACTTGTAAATCACAGTAAATGCAATACTTATTTTTCTTTGTAGGTTAGACTACCCTTTTGGTCTACATTTAAAATTCTGATGTTCTATTCTATCATATCCTTGGTTTTGTGGTCTAACTGGTCTTCCTATTTACCGCAATAATATTATCGTTGCGTCAGTAACTAAATCAGTGATCTCAACTAACTTAAATAATTCTAAATATTAGATAAATATAAAAATATTAAGTGAGTTGGGTCAATGTATATTTTATTATATTTGAACAACATATTTTGACATTACTTTAAAGTTTAATATGTTTACTATAGCCGTTACAATCAGTACTATTATTAGAAAATCCTTTGGTGTTAATATGGTAAAATAACTAGGTCTCCTGTCTAATTTGTACGTACAATTTGTATAATATTATTAATTATGTTTACAGTTACATACATATTTGTTTTATCTTTAGGCTTCAACCTTAAGTTATTAGGGCTTTGGACCCGAAATATTATTTTATATATTTAATTTTCTTTAATAGGGGGTGTTAGGTTACAATAAAGTCTGAGACAATAGTACATATTGTTATAGGAGGAAATAAAATGAATTAAAAAAACCGCGGCATTATATTTTAACTTTGCTTTTACATAATTTCACCGCTAGAAGTGAATCGAACAATTGGCATTTTTATAGTAAATAAACAATTATAGATAACAATAACATTAGTAACTGATAAGTGATAACATTGTCTATGTGATAATCGATAGACCATGTGGATTTGAATTTTGAGTTTTGAACGCCAGAGCCAGGGTGTAGTATAATTTTAATTTAACAAATTTTGCAAGTAGTATTGACTATTGACATTGAATTGTACATTATAATAGTTTACGATGCCGACGAATTTGTATAGAGTACAAGGACCCGAAGGAGCCATTCCTTTCCATCAGTTTTTGCTCACCGAAAAATACGATAAACTTAAAACCATCGCTTCATCGCTACACAAAAATGTTCGAAACGATAATAGAGATTTCTCAGAGCAAAGAAAATTATGTAAGACGATATAATTTTAGATTTTATTAAAAAAAAAAAACCCGTTCCATCAATAGGTATTTATGTTTTTGTAGGTGTTAAAACTGGCGTTATTACCCAAGCTAAAGGTTCGGCATATGTTGAATGCGGACGTACAAAAGTGATTTGCTCTGTGTTCGATCCTAAAGAAGTCCCCAATAAAGTAGAGTATGCCAAGACCGGAGAATTGCAGTGTGAATTTAAGTTTACAACTTTCTCCAGTATTCAACGTCGTGGTTATACTAGAGATGCAGAAGAACGTCAACTGTGCAATGAGTTGCGCAGAGCTCTCGAGCCTGCAATTTGTAGAGTGAGTGTTGTGGATAATATTTAATATATTAATATAGTAGTAGGTTTTGAGTAAAAAATTGTCTATTAATGGTTTGATTTGATTCTTACTAGTATGAATGGGCTTATTATCTAACATTTTATCTAGTATATATTACACTCTTATTTTAAACCACCTCTTCTGCTGGTACAATCATATACTAATGGTTGTGTATAGTTCAATCTTTAAAAAAAAAATGAGTAACATTTCATTCTAATAGTTACTAGTTACAAAAATACATCCTTAGCTGAAATGTTACTCAGTAATGTATACAGTAGATGTATTTTTCTTATTATGTAATATTTTCTTGTTAATTTACATTTTACTGACATTATAATATATTGTTTTGCTTTTACAGGGTGAATTTGCAAATTTTGAAATTCAAATCAACGTATTGGTGTTGGAAAATGATGGATCTGTCTTAGCAACAGCAATTACCGCAGCTGGACTTGCGTTAATAGATGGCTGCATACCTATGTATGATGTAATTACTGCTACCTCATTGGTGAGTTTAAATTTTATTTTAAAATAAATGTTTCAATTGAAAATATGTTTAACAACACTAAACTTTGAACCTACTGTTGAAATAAGATTCAAAATTTCTAGCAAGTAAGTATGTTTTTTAAATCGCCTCTACAGTTGTATAGATCTTAAAAAACAAAAATCAGAATTTTCTTTTAATCTTTTTGTTAAACAAAAAAAAAGAACTAAATATTCTACATTAATTCTGAGACCAGTTCTGATTTCAACAAAGAAAATTAAAAAATAAAATTTGAAATATATTTTAGAATATTAGTTTAACATACAAAAAAGTGTTTTTCACAACTTTCCAGGCTATTTAAAAAATAACTAAAGAAATTCTGGGGCTTAAATCAGATTCAACGAGAGAGAAAAAAATTCCAAAACATGTATTTTGGTTCATATTTTATAAGAGGGAGCAAATAATACTTATTTTTAATCAGCGTTTTTTTTTTGCTGTAAAGAGTTGTTCCTCTTAAGTGAGAATAACATTTTTTCTTTGTAAATATTAATTTCTAGAATTTTTATTAAAATCTGTGATCAACTCACTGTGAATTTCCCTTGTTAACTTATGACTGTTGGCCATAACCATTTTGAATGATTTGAACTATATTTAAAAACTATGAATGTATTTTTGTATAACAATATTAGTGTTTGTTTTTGAAAAAAAAAAAAAAATGTTATTGACACTTATTTTCATTAGCGATTTAAAATAGTGTTTTTAATTCAGAATTTTAATGGTCTATGTAATACATTTTTATTTCTTACACAGGGAGTTTATGAAAACAAGATTTTAGTCGATCCAACTTATGATGAAGAATCCCTATGTTTATCGACAACGTCAGAAGGGCAAAGTTGTGGCACTGTCGTGTTGGCATACATGAAAAATCTGCAACAAATAACTGAGTTTGCTCAGAACGGTTCTATGGATATTTTTATGTTTCCCGAATACGTTCAGACTCTTATAGAGAAAAATTGTAAATTATACACAATGGTAATATCTACAATTAGAAATGACGTAGCTGAACACTTCAAAAATCAAACCTAAATGTAATTTAAAAAGATGAACAATCTAAATGTTAACTTGTATTTATGTATATTTTTTTGTATTAAAAATTATAATTACACACATTATCGAGACTTATTTTAAATTGTGTTGTACAAAATGGAATAGAAAAATAATTATTCATCGGGCTTCTCGGGGGGAGGGCCACACGGCTGCAACATTTTTTCCATCAAGTTAAACCTGACTCTTGCTTTGGCTTCATTTTCAGCAACAGCGAACCAATTCAATAGATCGTAATGGCCCAAATATGAAGCGCAAGAGTCACGATGTTGATTTACTTGCCACTCGAATTTGCTAGTGTCCGCATGACCCGTTCCTATGTACTTCGACTGCAAATGTTCCAACTGGCTGTGAATATTGTATCGATCACCCATGATCTTGGAAAAATAAAATAACAAAAAACATTAATATAACATATAATAATATTAAAAAAAAGAATTAAGTTGCAACTCGTTTTAAATGTGATACAGCTATATGATACATGACCAATGGCCTTCTAAAGCCCTTAGCTTTAGTGTACATCTTTAAAAGTTCTTTATTCGTTTCTATTGGATGTACATATTCGGATAACGGTACTCTATCCAAATGTTCTTGGTCTACGTTGATTGTTTCCGCCAAATCTACTTCTGACCATACAAGTTTCCGTAGTTCGACACTGTGTTTTCTTTGCAAAGGTAAGAGTATGTACGCGCCAAACACTGGATCTGAATACGAAACGCCAACATAATGTTCGCACAGCGTTTTGTAAAATTCATAGAACGATTCGATTCCAGGAATAGGATCTTTGAAATTTAATATGTTGTTGTGTTGTGCGTAAAGATGCCAAATTTGATTTAACACAGGTTTGACTTCGTGGAATACCGTTCCCCGGCGGCCACACATAAACGTACAAGCTACACGACAATATCGCGCCGATAACGGCGTTTGTGCACAGATGTCGGGATAATGTATTTCCATGAACAGTACATTTGCCAACGCTTCTTTAATCAGAGATTCCCCTTCTTTTGAACTTTTAAAATTGATCGTTTCGTGTACTTTCAGAATTGGCATAAACAACCAATCTTTTGGCAGTATCGGGTTAAGTTCTGTTATTAGTATGTTAGTAACTTTACTTTTTGGATTAGGTATCAATAATTGATAGAATGATTTCAAAATAGTAAAGTCGCTCATGTGGTTTATATGCTTCACATATTCGTCACTAAAATATAACTCCAAAAGGCTATGCAACTCGTTCGACAAATGTTTAGGTACAAATGATAAAAGTGCAATAGCAGTTTTATGGATTACGTCCAATCCTGAATTATTATTAACAAATGCTTTAAGTGTACTTATTAAAAATATTGTTTCATATCTGGCATACCAATGCGATACTTCAACAGGAGATTTCATTAGACTTTCTATGTACGTCCAAAACTTTGTAGGAATCTCAAAAGGTTGAGAAGTTTTACTTAAGAATTTCATCATTCCATTTAACATGAACAAAGGGTCTCCACCATTGAGAGAAAAAGTAATAAATCCAAGATTTGGATAGCATTTCGGACTGTTATTTGTATAATTGCTTTTTAACCACGATTTTTCATAGAGTATTTCACAAACTCTTCCAAAATTCTTATTTAAATAAGTTATTACTTTTGGAGTGATACAGTCAAATTTTACATTTTGGGAACTAAGAACTGAAAAACAGTTGCCAATAAGTTTTGAAGTTTCAAAGTTTGGAAGATCTGAACTTCCCAGCAGTTTGGCTAAAATCATTTCGGCTAATTGATACACAGGATCGATATAGATTTCGCCGAAATGTCTTAACGCCGAATCGATTAAGCTTAAACTTGCAGACATTAAATTTAAATCGGTTTTTGTTAAATCTGAACTAAGCCCAATTGAACGGTCGACGAACTTTAATACCAGATTAGCCAATTCTGCAATTGTTTGACTGGCTAAATTATGTTCAAAAAATGTTTGCCATAAATATATACACTCTAGGAGCAGTGGCGTTTTCTCTGGTAGACTTATATACTTAAATATAGAATCAAGTATTTTCATTTCAAGTATTTTCAAACTGCATTTAAGCGATTGACTACTAATGACTCTGGTAAGAGTCACAACAGACTCTGACAGTGTATTACTTTGTACATTTGTGAATACTAATTTACACAAGTGTCTAAACAATTGTGTATCAATAATTATTAGTGCATACTTTTCACCCCTAAATGCAATGCCAGTCAAAATGTTACAAATGTCTAAAAGACTGCCCAGACCAATGTTTATATTGCCGACAATGTACTGTAAACGTAATATCAAGTCGGTCCGCAGGGCTCCTAGAACCAAGTCTAAAATCACTAGATCATAGTCTGATGATTTATCTAGCTCTTTTTGATCCATTTCGGCATCTGGGACCACGTAAACTGGCAATGCAATATCACAGTAACATCCAGACAATCCCAATAAGATTTGCCTATCGATCTTCCTAGCAAATAAGTTTCCCATAGCTTTTAGAGTGTTGGTAATAACTGCTATGTTGGTGTCATCCAAAGCCATTCTCAGAAGTATAAACACTCCAGAATCCATAAGTGAACAAATGAGCGGTTCGTTTAATACTTCATCATATATAGAAGAGCAATCAATGAGTTTTGATAAAACATCTAATGCGAGAATTCTTTGGGGTACGTGATTGGTTCGAAGGAATGAATAGAGTTCATTGATTGTATAACCTGGACGATGTTGTTCTTCACCATGATGATGCAAACCATTGACTGTAGTTTTATTTTCTATAACGTAAGGTAACAGCTTGCCGTCAAGACCAAAACGCGCAGTATAAATATCTTGAGTTTTGTGGTTCATTTCAACATCACCGATCCAATTAAGTTTTTCATCTTCAATTACATCCATATTCAACCCACTATTAATCAAATCATTAATTTGTGGTGGTATCTTGTTTTTATCTTGTTCAGATTTTTTGATTAACTGTACTCGGTTGTTATCTTTATGTTTCAAATCATACGTTCCACTATTAGATATATTTTTGTGTTTAGTTTTCAAAAATTCAACAATGTTACCATCCAGCATACTAAGCAATTCTTTTTTTTCTTTAATTATTTCTTCAACAGTCATACTAGTGAGTTTTAGAACATTTTCCGTATGTATATCATTGGCTTCAGGACCAGTTAGTATATTACTAGCAGGTCCAAACGTCTCTTCACTCAGTTCATTTTCAAACGTTTTATCGTTGTCCTGTTTTTCTCTTTGTTTTTGCATTTTTTGGGCAAATAGGCTTTGTTTTCTTGGTTTAGAAGTCATTTTAACCTAATTGTAAGGATTTCTCAATTCAGAAAAAAATGTTTCAAAATAAATTATTTGTTTAAATTTTATTTAATATTTACCTTTTTTTTTGCTGGTTCCTGCTACTATGAAGAACGTAAGTCGAAACTATTATAAACTTTTTTATTGCTATAATATTATTTAGTTTTTGTTATTATTAAAATTAAAAAAAGATGTTTCAAATATTGTATACCATTGGGTTTAGGATCACAATTCACACCTACCATGGACATTGTATTTTTTCGCTCATAGCCGCAAATTGATAAGATCTTATCTTTACACCCTAACCTTGGTATGTTTAGTAGTTAACTTTTAATATAATTTAGAACCATGTTTAGGTCTTTGGTCTCAGAAAAGGCCAAAATTGCTTTTATGCAAAATGGCTCATCCATTTTTTATTTTTATGAAAATCTAACAAACCCATTACTTAAAATGTATTAATGATTGAAAATAGGTATATTGCTAACCGCCAATGGCAACTTTTGTATAAATATAATCACGTTTAATTTAAAATATCCTTAGACTAAAAACAAATTTTTTTAAAACTAAAAAATTTAATGCTTCAGTGACTGAACTTTAAAAACTTCATTAGAAACTTTGTACTGATAAATACCTTTTGCATTTAAACCTCTCAATTATATGTCATCGTTATGTTCTTATACTAGTCAAAATTATTAATTTGGGTGAAACACCTATCCCACAGTCCATACATAATATCAGGTTATGGTTAATACAATTTTTTTTTTAAGATTCCATGTACAATACACTTACTATTTGGTCAGAAATTACAATATTTTAATTGTTAAGTATTTTTTCTACTTATTGTTGGTATTATGCATAAGTAGTTAATTTTTTTTTTATATTTTAAGAAAAAACTAAGTTTTTAAATTTACATGATACAAGAAAACTACAATCTCAACTCCAATAGTGTATTTCGTTATTGTACAATATTAGGGAGTTTAATTGGTTTTTTCTTCATCAAACATAAAAAATTCAATTAAATATATTTTACATTAAAGAAAGTGAAGACATTTTTCTTGATACAATTTGTTTTACTTAATTCTAGATTAGAAATTTAGAGTTCATTATTCTTTAATTTACAATGCTTCCAGGTTTAATTTTTTAATATTATATTTTAAATTTATTCTTTTTTTACCATTTAACTTACAGAAATATATTCAATCAAGAGTTTTATATTTTAAGTAAATTTTTAATTTGAACACAGAGAATATGAGAGGTTGTTGGTTAAATAATAAATTTATTAGGACTTGGTAGATACTAAAGAATATAACACCGAACAAAAAAAAGAGCAATATCATAAATATAAAAAAAACACTGTAACTAGTGTACAGAAGAATTAAATTAAAATTAATATCCACTCGGATCTTTCCTATAAGAAAATTAGAATTTAATAAAATGTCAAAGTATTAGACTTTCTTAAGGAATTCTTTATAAGTGGCTTTGGCCACCCATCTCATTGTTTCTATTGATATAGACAGCCGATCCACCTGGGCAAAAAAAGGCACAGAACCTAGGAATAAGCAGCATAGGTGAGAACCCACTATAAGAAAATCTTTATAATTGTACAACACTTTTTTTTAACAGTGGTAAATAACATAATAGTTATGTTTATTTTTTGAGTTGATACAATTTCTATTCCTCTAGGATCCATTTTTTTAAACTTTTATTTTTTACGAAAAGCTGTTTTTAACAGACAATAATAATAATAATTTATTGTTACTGTCGCCAAATGATATTCTTTTCAATGACAAAATAATACAAACAAAATTACATCATTTGGAGCAAGACTAAAACATTGAATTTTGCGTAAGGACGACAACATTGGTAAAATTTTCTACAAAAGTGGTTCTTTGTAAACAAGCTTGTACCAATGACCGCACATACAACGTTTTGGTTCGCCAGAATATAACCACATCCATTTGATATGAGACGCATCTTCTTCACATACACAGCCAACAATTCTTGCTTCAAAGGCAGATGGGATTTCTGTGGGCTGTTCTTTGGTACTAACACCTCTTTTGATAGCTTTTAGGTTATAAGGGTCCTATTAAAACAAAATGTATATTAATATCAAGTAATAACACAATAATTACTGTATTGTGACAATATGAGTTTAAACTTTAACCCTTAACTAGTGATGTGTGGTATGATTATCTCGTAAATTTACGATTATGCTTGTGTCAATTTCATTATTATCAGTTGAAAAAAAACATTGATTTTAGTTAGTGTATATTTTGTAGAATTTTTACTGTACAAATTTGTTTGATTTTACCCAAAAACTTAAGGTACAGCCACAATTAAATAAGTAGCAGTACCGCACATCACTAATTAAGGAAAGTTGTTACATTATGATAAGGTCACTAACGTCATTTCCTGCTAAACGTGCAAGCATTTCTTTCTTTTCCAGACCAGTAGCTAAATCCAAAGGATCAGGAAAACCTAAAAAAAAATTGACAATTACTAACATTCTTACATAGTTTAAATATAATAACAGTAATAATAAAATTGATTACAATTTCACCTAATATTAAACATTTATACTTATTATTTCTAGTTATTTACATTTGTTAATACAAGTTAATTAATTTTATTAACTGGTAAATAGACTTATACTTTAGACCTATAGAATACATTAATAAAAACAATTAGGCATCTAAAGTTACCCTTGTTTGACCTCTAACATAGGAGAAAATAAGATACTTGTGTACTATACAGATTCCTACTATTTTTTTTAATAGCAGAGGGTAATTAAATAAAATAAATTACATTGCACATAAATACAGTTTCTAATAAAGCGTTTACTTGCCCCCCCACCTGTCCCTCTATAGGACAGCACGTCACCGAGTGTTTGGGCACTTGCCCGTTTAGCGCCGTTGCTTGCTTCGCTTAACTAAAGATATCCAACCTTGCAGACTTTTGACATCAGAGACATCACAAAATTTGTAAGTTTAGATTAAATATATTCGCGTTTACTTAGAAAACAAATTATTTTACTTAATTACCTTCTAATATTGAAAAAATAAGGGCAGTTTGTAGAATACACAAGTACCGAAATTAATTACAACTTAAAAAGTGAAACTATAAGTTAGTATTAAATACATAATTACTTATTATGTACAAAATTATAAATAGTTAATTATTAAGTATACATTTTGTTTTTAACTAAGTATTTAAAATTACATAACAAAACAAAAAAAGGTTTAGAATTTAACATTTAAATACAATTAAGAAATAACTATAACTAGGTATAGTAATCATAGTATTGAATAAGAAAACTTAATATTTTTAGACTATTGTTAAGTTATTTGAAAAAAATCTTTATTACATTTTTTTATTTACAACATTTTATATTTTATAGGGTAAAAAATGTATTTATAAAGGGCAACTCATTATTTTATATTGATTTACAAGTTATGTTTATTATCACTAAAACATAATACATGATAAACATACTATTTTTTTTGAGAAAATATATGAATTAATTTATAAAAATAAATATTGACTTAGGATGTAATACATTATTTATGTTAACATTATAGTTTGTAAATTTAAATAAATGGGTTAATAAATGGCCTTGTTGTAAAACCTTATTATTGTATGACTTATCTGGAATGTTCAAAAAAATATAACATTTTTGGCATACTTCAATAATTAGTGTATATAATAAAAAAATGATTGGAAGATACAGTAATTGTTAAGATTATTTAATAGTTTTGAAATTTACAAGAAAATAATTGTTTTGTTAATTTCTATCAGATACTTTTGTGACATTAAAAATTTAAAAAAAAATGAAAATAATAGATCATAAATATTATTAGTTTTATAATTTTACATTCTGTTACAGGGGCATTTGTATACATTTGTGTAATGTAAGTAGAGTATATTTTATCGCAGGTCAACGAAGTATCCTTAACTTGCAAACTTTACTCAACTAATATTTAAACGAAAAATATTCGGTCAGATGGTAATAATAATTATCGCAAGAATTTTACTTATAACTCATTGATTAAATTAATGCGTATTTTTTTCGAACGTTACAGATAAGTACCTATGGCATGTTTATCAAATTTCGTATAGTATGAAAAATTATGAATTGCTTACCTTCTTCCTTGCTAAACCTCGCTACCGAAGTCGAGAACATCCTAAGAGGACGTCTGAATACGAACTTTGAGCCCAAAACCATTAGTCTGGAATTCATTTCTATTTATGTTAATGGTAAATTTACAATGAATTAACTTAAAGCTACGTCCAAAGTGGTAAAGTGGACAGGACTTTTTTACGCCTGAATCCGGCTTAACCGTGCAACTAGCTAAAAAAATTTCTCGCTTTGCAATATTAACAAACACATGATCGGAAGGTCAGGCCTGCTTACGCCTTCAACGAGACTATTTATGTTGGTCACACTTAAATCCCAATTTCATTTTGTAATAGTTCTAATAATTTCGATTTTTTCGTTAAATTTTAAATTTTAAAGAAACTAAAAAAATTAAAGCTCTTTAAATTTATAAAAGACGTATTTTTGATTGTTTATTAATATATTAAAAAAACTGTACACTTAATCCATAATAATTATAATAATCAATAATTATTTTTCAAAATTAAGCGCCACGACAAATTATTGTATCCGTATGTTGGTCATGTTGTACTGTGTTATGCTGTTGTTAGGCTATCTCAGCATTTGTATCGGTTCTCTCCCTTTTCGTCGTACGTGCATGTGATGTCGTGAAAAGCTCGTTTTCTTTTTACATTCGTTAATTATTTAGTGTTTTTTTCCATTAAAGCCACACGCAGACATTAAAGGTATGTATACTTTAAAAACTAAACAAATTAACAGAGAAAATTGTCCTCTGGTTAATGAGTTAATTGATTGAAGTCATTCTCGGAAGCCGGGATTTTTCAGTATGCATGGTGCTTCACTATTTTTCGAATGAGACATAGGTTTCGCAGTGCTAATGTTTTGTACATTTCACTTTTGTAATTTGTGTGATTTTATGGATGTATCTGAATTTGTGTCTGTCTTACAACTTAACTTGATTTTTGAGTGATATTTGTGTGGTAATAAATTAGTAAAACGTGTGTACCTGGCATTTAGGTTATGTGATATAAAATGCCAGTGATAGTGTGATTATAAACATTCCAGAATCTAGACCCCGAGTATAAAATCGTATTAATAATAATTGTAACTGCACTTTAGGTTTTTGTAATAGGTATGGCTTTATATGGAGCGTCTTAATTTTAAATTAGAAATAATTATATTTGAAGTTCTCAAGTAACATTTTTAAGTATCTAGGTATTTAGCTTACACCTCTGTCCTGTTTTTGAAGTTATGAGAACAAAAAGTATTCTATCAACAATTTATCATCAAAATGTTGAGATGTATTAAAAGAATATAAGATTAATTTATAATCTATTTAAAGAAAGACAATTCTATAAAAAATACTTTACACTTTTGATTTTCATTATTACATTCAGTTAATTAAGATTTATATCTCATTTTATTTACATCTCATTGACTATTTTCCCAGCATAATTAAAAACAATCATCATAATTTAAATGTAAAATTTATTTTTAGATGGTGATTCCAGTTCAGGCAAAAATTGTGAAGAAAGGCAATTCAGGGCCTGATCAATTTGAACTGTCTATTGCCCAAGCTCTTTTGGAGTTGGAAAACAATAGTGACTTGAAAGCTCAGCTCCGAGAATTATATATTACGAAAGCTAAAGAAATCGAACTCTTAGGCAAAAAGGTATAAATGTTTAATATAATAACTGTACACTGCTAAAATTTATTTTTGTTGCTTAATTTTTTATGATTAAAAAAAATTATTTTAAATGTTCATTTTTTAATTTAGAGCATCATTATTTATGTGCCTATGCCCCAAAGAGCTCAATTCCAAAAAATTCAAGCTCGTCTTGTGCGTGAATTGGAAAAGAAGTTCAGTGGCAAGCATGTCGTATTCATTGGTGACAGGAAAATTTTGCCAAAACCAACAAGAAAAACTCGTACCCAAAATAAACAAAAACGCCCAAGAAGGTAAATTGATGATATTAAAATGAATATTTTTATTAATAAACAAACATGTTTCTTTCTATTAACGTATGTGTATATCAGTAATGCAGGTCAAAAAAATATTATAACCTATGTGATATGCGCTTCAATGCTATGTATGTTGTTAGCCGCATCACAATATTTAATAGAACTTGCTGTGAAGGCTAGACGTTATCGATTCATTATTATAAGCTAGTGTAATTTTAATTTTTAACCCATCACTGTTATCGCTTATAATTTATACATTTTATACAACTTGTGTAAATCTGCAATTATTTATTTTTACGTGTGATTAAGAAACTATGTAGTTTAGTAATAAAACTATTTGAGCGCAGTTAGTCTGATGTTTTTAATTACTCTGAATTGTGCCTAATATTGATTATGTGTTTAGTCGTACCTTGACATGGGTGTACGATGCCATTCTGGACGATTTGGTTTTCCCTGCTGAAATTGTTGGCAAGCGCATCCGTGTTAAGTTAGATGGAAAACAGGTGATGAAAGTACATTTGGACAAAACTCAACAGACTAACATTGAACATAAGGTAAATATAATTTTGAATTATATCATGCTTATTTATTTAGACCTATGGTTATTTAAATAAGTATTATTTTTGATGTTGTAATAATTACTTGGAGACTATTAGGACTAGTTTTGGGATAGTTTATTTTTAAAAGATTTTGCATAGTTCCTCGCTTATGTTTAATAAAAATAAAACTTGTTTCGCTTTTTGTTCCTTTATTAGAAAAACTAATGTATTGTTAATTAAATAAATATATTACTAGTTTATGAAAACATTTTTTTTTTTACAGGTGGATACTTTTGCTTCAGTGTACAGAAAGTTGACAGGTAGGGAAGTAACTTTTGAATTCCCTGAACCATATTTGTAAATCATAATTTTTATTAATAAAAAAAAAAATTGATTTTAGAACGGTTTTTTGTTTTATTTAATTTTATGAATATTTTATGGCTGTGTATAAACTGCTGAGCAAGAAAGTTAGTTTGCTCTTAAAAGTAGTTTTGCTCAATCGCAATACCAATTTATTGTATTGTAGTAATTCATTAATGTTACTTGTATGTGCTAATCTCTAAGCAGCTCGACCGAATTTCACAAAATAAATGATGAGGCAGGAGGGGCATTTGCCGCATTCTTGATTTTTATGGGCTGGTCAAATTTTCGGTACGTAAGGCCGTAAATTATCTTTTTTTTTATGCAACTACCTACCTTTACTAATAATGAACTGTCTGAACTGACTACCAAGTATAATAGGTATAAAGGTTTTAATTTAAAATAGTGTACACCATCACACTAACACATAATAAAATGTTATGTATTAATAACTCATAAATTAAATTAGATACAATGGAAAGTTGAGGGTTAAGGTGATAAAATAATACTTATGCTGCCTACACCCTACTGTAACATTAAAATTGGTTTTGGTAAAAAGTAGCAATTTATGAGTTTTTGTTTGAGCTTAAAAAACCTTAGGAGAGAGGGTGGCTTTCTCATCAAAATTTTCTAAGCCACCATCTGAGTGTAGTGTATATTTTATACTTACTTTTTGCTAATTTTGAAGAAACGGTTGAAGTATGTATTCAATTGGTATTTTTTTCAACATACAGTGGACAATTTGGTGTATTTTAAGATTAAACTAATACCCCATTGATTATAAATAATCAATGCTAATACTAATGGCAGGCAAACCATTTTTTTTTTTTACATCATTTTTAGTTTTATAAATGTTATTTTCTTCCTTAAAAGCATAAAAATTGTCTTTTTTGTGTGTAATATTAACAATTGCCATTTATAAAAAAAATTATTGCAAAAATCGGTGAAATGGTTTGTCTATGGTTGAGTTATGACATAATATCATATCGCCGCCCCAGTAGAGCAATGACACAACTGTGCAATAATTAAAATTTTACAGGAAAACCAAAAAACCAAATTATTGGTGCTATTTTTTCTTAAATAATTATGACAAAAAACAATGTAGTATCATATACAGAATACAGATAGATTTATTTATTAATTATCCACTTATAAAATAATTTGATTTTTGTTTATATATTATATTTAATTATAACAATTTGTTTAATAATAAAAAAATAAGAAATAAAAATTTGGTTTACAAAATACACCAGCGCTTGTGGTTAAGACTTAAAAATTTAAAGTACACCTGTTAATAATAGTGGCCTAATATTTAAAAGTCAGCTGTCAGAGAGAACAAAGGTATATTGTAAAATAAAATAAAAATATAAATGAGAAAATGTTTTATTAATAGAAAACAACATTTAAAAAATAAACAATAATTGTATACATAATAAAATAGTACTATTATACAGACAATAATTATTAAGAGAACCGTAACACATAAATATTCCCTTTAAAATTAAAAAAAAAATTGTATTCCTCTACTGTCACATAACATTTACCAATACAACCCAATTTCTGCTGAATTTAGCTTTCTATAATTCATCTGGTAATTCTATTGGGTCGCCTTGAATTTCTGTTAATGGAGTAGGTATTACTTCTGGTAGTATTTGCTCAGTCATAATGGAAGATTCAATGTCAGTCGGTAAACTCTGTGCTGTCGGTAATATGGGCTGTGTTGGTTGACTGGTCTTTATTCGTCTTAAAATATCGAGGGGCACGTATCCTCTCTGTCCGTCGGCGGTGTCAATCAGGAGCCATCCACCGTTTCCAGCGGTATTCTTTATTCTCTGGGGTGTGGTTAGTACAGATTGGCCTTTTACTAAAGGAATCGTATTCGGATCAGGGTTATTCCAGTCACACGGCGCTTTTAAAATAATTTTTTCATTCGGTCTGTCTAAAAATATTCAAAAAAAAAAAATTAAAAATCATTAGTTTTATGTGAAAATGGGATTTATTACGGTAATAACAAACATTTACTACTGGGTGAATTTGGAGGTGATAAATTTGTTGGCGTCACCGAGTTGAGCAGTTTATATATAAAATAAGGAGTGGCTACCAATAATCCTGTGAACACCACTAATGGCCACGATCGCCCACCATCTGTTTGACTTATTGCGGCTTCAGAAGACGTTATATTAGACCACAGCTCTTCTTCGACACTTAATCCACTTGCGTTTCCTTTTATTAGTCCTAAACATTTATAAGGTGGTTTAGATACAATTTATCTATTTGCACTAAATTAATATTCATACTTATTAGATAAACCAGTTTAGCCAAAAACCATCTCGCCAATTTAAATGTGACCACGGTTGAGTATAGCTTTGTCATAAAACTTTTTAACCGAGTAAAATTTTCAGCTACACCTAACATTGCCTCGAAAGACATATGCATTGCTGTAAATGTTGATTCCAGCATCATACTGACGGCATTAAACGACTGAACCACAGACTGTATCGATTCGAATGCAGGACGTGAATTTTCAGCTGCAGCAATCACTACACTGTAACGAAAATAATATTTATAACAACAACTATAATATTAAAATGATATCTAGGTAGTTTTACTTTTTAACCTAAACAGACACTAACAAAAATATGCATATGATCCACAAATTTGTAAGTACTGTTGCAAATGGTAATTCATCTTTGATATTTTTGTACATCAATTATGAAGTACAAATAACGAAAAGAAACTATATTAAATAAATTACAGGGCTCAAAATCGGTAACTGTTTTCACAGAAACCAAATAAGTTAACTGATTTTAGGTTACAATTTTAAGTGTAATTTAATGATTGATTATTAGAATATATTGATGCCATAAAACCTATAAGTGATCGTTTTTTATTATGTAATAAGTAAAATAACTTATATTCGAAACAAATAACTCTTTTTTATCTTTTCTTGAAACATACAATCTGTAAACATTTTTTAAAATTAGTATTTTATTAATCGTTTACAATTTGGACACATGAATTTCCTCTTCATGTAGGAAACCCCTCATTAAAAGGCACCTCATTTGAATAATTTTTTTTAATTTTAGCTTAAAATGTAAAGAAGTATTTTGACCTTGTATTATTTTATGATTATATTTGTTGGCAATGACTACCTGTGTACAGTTTGATTATGCATAAAATGTTGACCACTAAATTAATAAATACAATTTGAATATATGTAAATATAATTATTTTATATTTCTTGTTAATTTTCTGTTAGTTCTTCTATAAAAAATATTTTAGTGTACTGACTTATTAAAATAATACAAATGAATAAAACATCATAAAAATGTATTCTTTGTTTATGGGAAAAAACCCAAATTGATAATTAACTAATTTATTATCTTATTAATTAACTTTATTTTACCTATATAAGTATGATAATATATTATATTATATTCATTTTTTTTTAAATAATAAATGATGAACCTAGTCAATGATCTATTTTCATTAATTACAGTTAATTTAAATAAATAAATGTGCACCATTATCGGAAAAGGGTCTATCTTGTTGTTTTTTGTTTTTGAGCATTTTGTTATATTGAGGTTGAAATTTTCAATTTTCAGTTTTTGGTGTTTCATTTACAAGGGAGTGTCGACTACACATAATATAATTAACACAAGTGTCAAAATATGATAGGTTCAGTAGATAGGACAACTACATTTTTAGTTACAAAGGACCCATTTTATTCTGTTTTGAAACTTTGAAATCGTTTTTCCTTGAAACCACAATTTTTACATTTTAAAATTCAAACTAATTGAATTTAAATTTGCATAACTTTATTAATTATTTTGACTATTAACTTCAGATTGTCATTAAAATAAAGGGTATTATATATTATATTTATATATGCAGATGTTAACTCGATACAAACTGAATGGACCCTTCTCAGTTCTCCGATACTGATACACAGTTATTATTAAAAATAGTTATCACTTTTAAATTTATACTAATACTTAGGAGACAAGGCTTTTCTTCTAGAAAGGATAAGTATCACGTTAGACACGCGATTCATTTTTAAAGTGTTAACGTATTTTAACTAGTTTCTGTCCCGACCCTATTTTCTAAATGTATTCTCTGCTAATTTTTTAATACTATTAATTGGTTTAAACAATATTGTGTATATTGACAGCAGCGGATTTATGGACAAGTAACATTGGCAGTTCTCGGTCAGAAATATTTTTCGATGAATTTTTTATTAGATATTTCAAGTCTAAGGGGGCAGTTAACATAATTTAGAAGTCTACTATCTACTTACGGATTTTGATACTGATTGGTCATTGACTGACCATATGAACTATAAGGACTATATCCACCCATATTCATAAGCGACCTGCCGTACGGGTAACTCCCAAAAGATCCACCATAACTTGCACCCATTGTGGATGGCATATATGACACAGGCATCTGAACCCTTCGATAACTTCTTTGCGGCACTTGAGTGGTAGTGATTCTAGGAGCAGGCGAAGATGAAGGTACTCGTAATCCACTAGCTACTGGTAACGGTGGAGCCACTCTGCCTGGCCCGAAACCCATTTGGTCATGTTGGAACAGTTGATTTGACTTTTGCCAAAGATCATTGCTAAAAACAGATTATTGAGTGTTGCTAGTAACGTAAACATGAAAATAAAATTTAATAAATTAAAATACTTACAGATTCAACTGAGGATCGTCCATAATTTTCAAAGGCACAACAATGACAGAAACTTATTTATAGATTTATATTTAAACAAACTACTAGGTGTATGTTATTACTACGAGGATCGAAATCGATATAATTTCTTTTTTCTATAAACGATTACAGCGTAAAAAAAACACCAATCGGCTATTAATTACATTGCGACAAATTTAGTTGAATATTGAAAAGAAACGGTAGGTACGCAAAAGTGGTAACTGATAGATACGAGAAAAGAAAGTTAACAGCACACACAAAATATTATAACATTTACCTATTATTATTATTATTATTACGGAACTCACTATAGACACCAATTCATGAATTACATTAAATTAAAAATGTAAATTTTCAGTTATCAGAAGACTGTAGTATGATAATCAGTGTTTTCGTCATGTGAGGAATCAAAAAAACAACCATACGATTGACGCACAATTGCTGCAAAATAGCTCTTATCAGGCATTGATTCTTTAAACGTGTAACATGGTCCTAACCTCTTTTCTATGGTCCCACAGCTACAGCCGTGGTTCTAATCATGAACGCTAGAGTGCTCTAGTATTTACACCCCTTCCCCTTCAAAATTGGCAAAACACCAATATTTATTATAACTTTTTTGAAAAATAGTCGATTTTGTTCCAAATGTCTATGGAGTATACTTCGGTTAAATTACTATACAACGTAAACAGAAAAACGTTGACAAACCAAAAAAATATTACAAACCCTTTCTCCTAGAATGGTTAGAAATTTTTTCCTTATTTCCCTTTTTGAAGCAAAGTTTTGGGCCTTTAGGTTTGAAAATTTAACTGGCCCTTAAAAATCGATTACCTTTTTTCCGGCACCCCTAAATCGGTTCTAATGTTCATTAAAAAGGGTTTGCAAGTTTAAGACCATTCTGTTAATTATAACCCGTGCCCTCAACGTTGGTTATTTTAAAAAAAATAGGTGAACTTTACGCTATAACTTTTTTGTTAGTCAATCTACAATTATGAAAGTGTAACGGCTGTAACCTCTAAATAGAATTTTCTAAGAGGATTAAAAAAATAGTGTCTTATTATTGGTATCTTATAAGGCATCGAAGCTAAAAATATTATGAAATGTTTAGAATCTTTTAACACAATTTGCATGAATTACATGAACTTACAAGATAATAATTAGATCAGATAAAAAATACATATGGTTCTATGGTAAACAATATATAACTAGTTTTAAAAACTCACGTTTATTATTATTTATTTTTATGTAGAAAAAAGCTGTTTTTTTGTTTTATTGAATTAACCTAATGCGTGAATGTTTTTTTGCTACAATTTGTCTTGTCAGGCAACTGTGATAAAACTATTCCTTTTTGACATAATCCACAAAAAGGTCAATTGTTTTTTGATAGCTTTCTTTGTTACACAGCCCCTCTTCATCCACATTATAATTGTTAACTTTATTTATTATTATAAATGTAATTTCATTTTTGTTATTATTTCGAAACTCAATCTAACAAATATATATGTGTACACACAACTTAGATTTGTTAATTCACGTGTTTTTATTTATCATCTTAAAGAACCTATCTTTAATTATTATTGACAGAGTGTGTTTTAAGACTATGACTTAGTCGTGACAACACCTTTAGAATATTGAACATTTTACTTATGAAAACTTATTTAAGATATTTAAGTATTCGTTTTCTCTGACAACTTCCTTTGTAAATCATTACACTAAACAATATTAGGTAAGATCGGCTTTCTTTATAGGTTATTTATTTAGAAAAGCTATACTAAATAAGACTTGTTTATTATATACTTTTTTGTTTAAAATTTCTTAAATTTATATTTGTGTTCTAATTTCCACAATATAATATGAATGAAAAAAAAACAAATTTTAAATTTATGATCATATCTTACAATAATAAAATTTTAAGTTGACATAAATCACTCTTTCTTTATTACCATAAATGGCACGGTCTGAATAGCTATTTGTAAACATTCAATGTTAAATATGTTCGGCTTGCATATCCTTAAACTTTGTTTTGCTGTGGGTCGTTTTGTATGGTCCTCACTCCTGTACTGTACACATTTCAAATAATTCTATAACACGACTATACTTTGGGTTGGATGTTATATCTTTTGGTAAAGGCGATCTTTGTCCTATAACAAAAAATATAATATATATATATATATATATATATCGGAATTTCTCAGTTTATAAATGACTTAAGACTTGCCTAAATTGGCATACACGTCTTCACTGATTCCCGTACAATCAGTTCCCGGCGAATACGTTTCGTCCAATGCCGTGTTCATGTTCGGTATAGACAACGCCATCATTTCCCACAACACCAAACTGTAACTAAATATGTCTGCCTTAGTAGTGATAATAGCACATTCTTCACATCGTAGTACTTCTTCAGGTGGTGACCAGTTCAAAATTCCTGAGTATCTATATCCTTTGTGTACCGTTCCATCACCTTTCAGAGGTAAACTAACACCAAAATCGCAAAGTTTTGCAATCTCAAAGTTGTCTAAAAAAAAAAAATTAATAAATTTAGTATTCATAATCAATTGATGACTTTTGTATTAATCTTACTCTTAACGAGCATATTTCCAGATTTAATATCGCCGTGTAAAATCGAGGAAGAGTGCAAATATTTTAAGGCTCTAGCAATGTCTATGGCTACTTTTATAATACACTCGGTCGGAAACAGACCTAGGTTTTCATCGACTCTCATTTCGATCAAGTCGTATAAACTTTGTCCACACTGTTTCATAAGCAACACCTTAAAATTAAATTAACAACCATTAGTAGAAAATACAGAGCCAGAATTTTATCGATGGCTTACCTCACGACCGTCGGGTCTTTTAGCAAACGCTCTGTACTCAATTATATTTGGATGGTTAAGTGACGCCAAAACTTTAGCTTCATATTTTAAACGATTACTGAATAATTGTTTACGAGCTCGACTAGCTTGACGCATAATGATTTTAGCTGCCCAAGGAGATTGTTCATCTCTTTCTAAATTAAATACGTCGGCTCCTAGTACACAAATAATTTTAGCTGTAAAAATATATTATTATTTAGTAAGTAGTTTTCAAATATAAAATACCCGTTCCACATCCGATTTGATCCAAAGCAGGCGTATCCGGTATTTTCGCTGTAGAACGCAATACTTTTGGCGTAGAATTGTTAAAAATTGTAAAAATATAATTTTTACTCATTTTACTTACTTTTTATATAAAAGTTGTTAAAGTTGAAGTAAAAATAAAAAAAAATACAAATGAGTTGAACTAATACTAACTATGATTTTATTATATTTAAAAATTATGATAAATAGTGTATTTTACGATTGTTGTAAACCCTACACCAGTCTATGCGTTCTACTATTGTTGTACACCGATAATAAATTTAACTTTAAATGGTTTTAGGATTTCCTCATCGCTATAATAACTATATTACTTTTAAATGACATTGTATAGTTGATATTCTATTAAGATTTCAGACTTTATATTTTAGTGTAGTTCTGTATATTTAGCGATAAAGTTGTATGTTCGACTATTGTAGATTACGCGACGACTCAGGTACGTATATTTTAGGTTTTATATATACATATTATAACCATTAGTGATGGGAATCCGAAAGCATTTTATAAACAAAGTTAAGAGTTTTTTTTTTTTAATTTTTATTAACAAATTTTACTTAGGTACACATCTTTATATTGTAATAGTATTTAATATTTATAATATTTTCAAGTGGCTTAAATAGCGTTTATTTGAAAAATCTGGATTTTCGGAGTCCCATCACTAATGGTTATAATATTGATTTATTATTGTACATAAAATATAAATTGCAATAAAATGGTCTTATCATACGACTTTTACATACTTTTCATACGATTTTTAAGACCTATTGTAGTCAGTCCTCCAATTATTTACTAGATTTATTATATGAATATACATATTGTGTAGTGTCAAATAAAAATAATAGTTAATAGTTATGAAAAAAAACTATTTAAATTAATTAACGCCACACTAGAAATAAATATCAAAGGTTTATCACAGTGCGGTGTGTTGTCTTAAAATATATCAATTGCGGCGTAAATAATGCAACAAATTTGCACTCATGTAACTAATAATGTGTTTTACAAGCAGTAAAACATGGTTCATGATAAACATAATCGCATGTTCATTATTGATTCATTGAATAAAAAATATAAGATATATTATTATTATTAATATACATTGCTGTATTATATTTTGGTTGTATAAGTTCATAATTTCATACAAAATATTATATCAACAGCTCTTAATTAGCAAAACTGTAAAATATTTTAATGTTTAATTTATTGTTCGTTTATTTACTAAAAAAAGTTCTAAAAAAACTTTTTTAAAGAATTTATATAATTTTTTATAAAGAATTTTTTAATTTTACATATAAAAAATAACGCCTAAGTTTTAACAAATACACTTTAAAATTCAACAAAATTTGTTATAATTTATCAGAACACAACGTATTTTTGAATGTGAATATAAAATACTTAAAAAAAGTATAGGAATTAGTTCCAAGTTCTATTAATTAAGTATTCCTTTTTGAAACAAAAAAAAATCAAATTATTCAAACCACTCTACGAGTCATCATCCCAAATGCCGCAAGGCATGTTTTTGAGTAAAAATGTTTTGTAAAAATATATGTACTTAAAACACAGATTTTTTTTTTTGAAACAAAGAACATATTTTTGTTGAATCCGAACCTGGCCTTAGATTTATTCCGGTACGCCTAGTTATTTCTTAAGCTGAAAATAATTAATGTCACTTATTGGCACAATAAAACGTATACAGAAATCGGTGTGACCCAAGAAAGTTCTCAAGATTAAAATTACCGAGGAGGGGGTGCTGTGAGTTAACGGGATACGCTGGAAGAAAATAAATTGTTAAGACTGTGGAGAAGTGTAAAAAAAAAATGTACGTAATTTATTCAATGGTGGTGAACGCACAATGACTGAATTACAACTGTACTCGACGTTTTATTTCAATAATTTCGCTGGATGCTAATTATTACTCTCTTCTCGGGTTTCCCGGCCATCAAGACCATCCCATCACACGTCCAATCCTCCAGCTGTATGCTAATTATTACAAAATTACAAATTTTATTAACGTCCGTATGCCAGCCAATTGCGCAATAATAAATTATTGTCTTAACGACGAGCATTGAAGAGGCCAAGGTCTTTGGAATAAAATACACGAGAAAATACCCAATTTGTCGGCAATTATACGGGATTAGCGTGCTCGTTAGACGTATGTACCGTAGGTACCGCTTGTATACAATAATAATAATAATAATGTATAGATTAGAGTTCTTTCGGGTAAAATACAGACAGTTATAGCT